TACAAAGGCTATAGCCTTTGTGTTTTTAGCGAAAATTGATGGGTCCGGATTTCGACGGAAAAGTAGTCGAATCGACAGAGGTGAACCAGGGGACCACAAGACTACTTTTGGTTCCGCCAGAAACCACCCCTGTCCAGAGAAACTTGAGTTTTAAGGGGTGGTCTTTTGAATCTGGCGCGCTAGCCGGTCCGAGTAAAACAGGCGTAACTCACTTAAAATGGCCCGGCGGCTTGAAATTTCGACGGAGATATTGAAAGAGGATGCTGTCGGACCAATCCCAACCATTTCCAGCGATTTTTAATTTTTTCATTTTTGGCCAAATTTACAAAGGCTATAGCCTTTGTGTTTTTAGCAAAAATTGATGGGTCCGGATTTCGACGGAAAAGAAGTCGATTCGACAGGGGTGAACCAGGGGACCACCAAACTACTTTTGGTTTCGTCAGAAACCACCCCTGTCCAGACAAACTTGAGTTTTAAGGGTGGTCTTTTGAATCTGGCGGTCAGCGCACGATGGGCTGCCTACCTTGCAGGCGAGCCGTTGCAAGAAAGACAGGCGTAAGCGTAACTCACTTAAAATGGCCCGACGGCGTGAAATTTCGACGGAGAGATTGAAAGAGGATGCTGTAGGACTAATCCACTAATCCCAATCATTTCTAGCGATTTTTAAATTTTTCATTTTTGGCCAAATTTACAAAGGCCTTTGTAATTTTAGCGAAAACTGATGGGTCTGGATTTCGACGGAAAAGTAGTCGAATCGACAGGGGTGAACCAGGGGACCACAAAACGACCTTTGGTTCCGCCAGAAACAACCCCTCTCCACACGAACTTGAGTTTTAAGTGGTGGTCTTTCGAACTGAGCTTCCTAAGGCGAACAAGCTAAAGTAACAGGAAAAAAACTCTGCTGTAGAGGGTCGGTTGCATGATGTGTATTTACGTAGAGCAAGTGAAAGGGGAGTCTGCTCGACCAATACAAACCAATGCCAGCCTGCATTTTGACGGGGGAGGATTGAAATCTTCAGGGAAGGACCAAGGCACCACAAAACAATTAAAAACCTAACTTTGATGCACACCAAAGGGAGCTTCTCATATGCTATATTCACTTAAGGCTCCGATATGGGAAAGCGTAAGGGAGAGCGTAGGCGTAAGCGTAAAAGCGTAGCGCTCGGGTAGCGACCTAACCTTGCATTGGCACAAATTTTGTATGAGATCTTCTTTAAAATAGTAATATTATCACCGCAGCGTAGTCCGAATGCATGACAACACCAGAAAATGCTTTTTAACACTCGTCAAAACCGAAAATGAGCCAAGATGAGGTTAGAGCGCGTACCCCCACTCCGCTCATTTACGCCCAGCCGCTACGATTTACGCTTACGCTTTACGCTCTCCCATACGCTTTCCCAAATCGGAGCCTTAAGTGAATATAGCAATAGAGTCTGAACAGAGACAAATTGGACCAGCTCTTGTAACTTTTATTCCAACTCACCTGTACTTTCAGGAAAAATGACTCCATAGACTTCTTTGCTCACGTGAAGAACATTTCTGGCCGTGTTCCTGCAATCATATTAAATAGTACTTTTAGCGCTATGTTTACTTTTATTTATTACTTAACAATCATAACTTAATAAAGCAGCCCCGTAAAGCTGGAATGAAGAAGAATACAGGCAACACGAAAAAGGGAGTCCCTATGTTGAAGCATAGCGCTTTTCCACTTTCATCTTCCCCGCTATCTTTTGCATTTCAGCTTTACCGGAATACTTTATTCACCACAGTAATTATTTCTGAGCGGAAAAAGACTTCCACAGAAAGAGACACCTTAATGAATTTGAAAAAGTTACTGTAATCCGTATTGTATTGAGAGGGGACTCTTTAACCACCTCCCTCAGGAAATCAAGAATATCAAACATGGAAAAAGATTTAGAGCTGTGCTGAAGAGGTGTTTACTAGCCCGACAAAATAGAGGAGTTTTTCAACAATGATTTTGCCAGCTTCAAGTGGTACATTGTGTCATGTATTTTAACTTGTAATATGCTCTCTGTCAAAGCTAGATTACAAATAAAAAAATAAAAAGAAAAAGAATATTGATAATACAACATACTTTTACATGCCTCTCCCCCCGTACTCTAAATGACCATGGTCTTTAACTAATTTGGCACTGGACTCAAGTAATAAGTGTACATAACATATCCCTCTGTACGTACTGTAGGCTGTGCACATCTCCCAGATAAATTTTCCACAGTTATTAGGAGAGAAGTGGATAGAGCAGATGCAAATTAGCTGTAACGCACATTGATTGTTTGATTGTCATTACTGCATTGCATGTCCAATCTAAGATGCACAATAAGTTGTTCACCCATTTGCAAATTACCTACGACAATATTTAACATACTGCATGGAAGGGAAGAGTGTGCCCATTCAACACCTTTTCAACAAAGCTTACACTGAGCCAAGTTTAAATAACGGGCATCATTTACTCTGCCTCCAAAAATATCTAAAACTGGAGCACCACTAACCTCTTACAATGACCGGAACAGAGCCATCAAGTACTATCCCTTGCGATTAATATCAAAAAGCCTTTTCCCACAGCCTCCCAAAATATAATATTATAGCAAGTCAGATATTTATCAACGTCAATCGGATTATCAAAACTGGAACTGGAATGTCAAACGGCAATCTTTATGAAAACTGGAACCGGCAATATTTATCAAAACGAGAAAATTTTACCTTCGGGTAGAGACAGGCACTAGGGACTTTCTGAAAACGAGACTGGCCACCCTAAAATTCTGATTAGAATACTATGATAAATTTGGGTAGGAATTATCGGTATTGAAGAGGAGACGCCAATTTTCACTGTTTATTTACGTTTCCTTACAGGCGCGGCGGGGAGCGGGTTGAGGGGGGGGGGGGCGCCTCTCGGCCGGAGCTGAGCGGCAGAGGACGGCCCGGCGCCGTGAACACGCTACTTGCTTCAGACTGGCGTCGAATTGGCTGCCTACCCAACGGGCGCCCAGCCGACGGCAGACGGCACCTGCTACTCGGTACCGACCCGCCGGGCCCCAGGAGCGTCGACACCGACTTTGCAACGGGCCTTTTCGTGACAAAACAGCTCATCCTCTTCGGTGCATTCGCATTTCGAAAAGGCAGATTTTTTTTCAGAAAACTTGCGCGTGAACTGCGTCCTTTCATCACCCCTCCTCTCTCTCTTACCCCTCACTTTTCAATATCAAGGGTCGCTGTTGACCCCCCTGCTTCCGATGCCCGGCTACACAACCCCATGTTCTGTGTTCTCTTTTAGCAGCCGAACTCCTACCGCCAAAAAGCTTGCAGCCGTTACATAAGAAGGGCTCGCAGGCTGTGGTCCTCTCCTTTGGCTCACATAAATTAAACGCCAGTGAGTTATTTTCTGGGAAAGTGGCACTCGCACGGCCTGGCCACGCCTCCGAGTCGGAAACTGGGGCGTTCTCTGCTACTGAAGTGGTAGGCATTAAGTTATTGGTTCGGAAAAATGCCTAGTGAAGTTCTAACCGTTCGTTGCAGCAATAAGGGATTTTGTCAGATGAAAATGGATGCTGGTTCCATTTCTTAAATTAGCATTCAATACTTAAATCAAAGCTCATTTGGTTTGCGCTTGCGCAAAAAGAAATGAATTTAAAAAAATGTTTAATGGAAAAGTTTGGCACAAATGGGCGGGCTGCTGGCTGTTCATTTGGCGACTACGTTTTTAACAACGGCCCCGCCGCACACCCAAACACATCCGGTTATAACTGCCTTTCTCGTGAGCGCCGCCCGAAATCCATTTTGCACGTGACAGGGCGCGAAGGAACGAACCATCGACGAAAATAAATAACCGAACACCGAAAAAGTAAAAAAAAAGGGGGGGCGTCGACGATGATGCTCATTGAAATATACGTGAGCAGACTTGTGGCGATTCAGGTTCGGCTCGCGCGCGGGTATTCGAAAGTCGAAAGCACTTGCGCGCCCACGTACAGACGGCCCTGCTGCACCTGACTTAAGCCCCCTTAAGGCCGGGCCTGTCCGGCGGCCGCCAGGAGGGACTAACTGGCCGGCCGGGGGTTTATGTACTGAGCCGACTTATTTCGGCGAGCCGGGTGCG